CAAACCCCACGTGAACCTGGGTTGCCTAGGAATTTCCAAAAGGAATCTTCGCAGCTCATGCGCCGAAGGCGGATTTCGGGCTGAAGAGACAATGTCCCTCGGCTCCGGGGGTTTAGGGGTTAGGGGTTAGGGTTCAGGGGCTTAGGGGTTTAGGGTCTAGGGGTTTAGGGATTGAAGCCAGAGTTGGCAAGCTTTGAACCCCGGAACCTCGCAGGAGCTATGCCGGTGTAGGTTTCGGATTTCATGTAGACCCCTGATCTGCCCCACCCTCCCCCTTCCCCTAGTGCATCCGACGATTCAGGCCCTTAAGTCAGGCGATGCATTATTCAGGGGTCGACATTGAGGGTTTCCTGCAGAAGCATCCCAAGCCACTAGACCCTAACGTCCCCAACCCCAATCCCTTAAGCTTCTATACCCTAAACCCCCAAACTACACCCCTGCACTCTCCCAGGATTCGACTGCGCCCATTGATGGAAGTGCCCCACGTGGTACATTGCTCCCTGGCCTCTGTTATGGTTTAGGATTTATAGTGGTTTAGGGTTTCATTTTGAATTTTTATGCATATTTACACCCAAGAAGTTTCTCCGCTGCCTCCCCAAGTCCTATAAACCCTAAACTCGAAACCCTATTCACCCTGTAAACCCTCTGAGCCCGATAAACCCTATAAATAAACCTTATAAGCCTGACATAAACCCTACAAGCCGTCTAAATCCTAGAAACTCTACAAGCCCTGTAAACCTGAAACCCTATGAACCCTAAGTGGGGACCCAAGAAAGCACATAAGCATAAGCATTCTATGGGGATATCCCTACCTTCTTGGGCTCCTTTATAAGGGGATTTATATGGGATATCGCTACCCTATATTTTGCTTATGTGCCTTTTGGGGGCCCTACGAAGGTGCCTCTCCCGGCCCACCGAGCGGACCTGGCAGCCCGGCGAACGGACGCGCGACGCCGCGCGGTCGTATGACGCCGAGGCCATCCGGTGGCCAGAGAGCCCAATACCCCTTAATTGAGGAATATAGCTTAAATCACAAATCCCCTTATAAGTTAAGGTATATTCCTTAATTAAGGGGTATTGGGCTCTCTGGGTGGCCAGGGTTAAGGATACTTGTGCTGCTCGTAGATGTAGTGGTGGATGATGTTGACTTTGACGACGCGGAGCTGAATGATGTTGAACTAGAGGAGGGTGTAGGCGTTTGGGAGTTTAGGGGTTAAGGGGTTTGGGATTAGGTGTTGCGGATTTGGCTTTAGGGATAAGTGGTTTATTATAATTTAGGGGTTTCAGGAATTGGGGATAAGGGGTTCAGGCCAAGTTTAGGGTTGTTCGAGTTTAGGGCTTTAGGGGCTTTGGGGTTCACGGTTTAGGGGTCTAGGCTTTGTAATATAGACATCTCTTTCGCCGGTTCTAGGGTTTTTAGCATACGAATATAACCCAGAATGCTGTGCTAATTGTCAAGGCCCCTATATCAGGGCCCTGAACCTGCACAAAGTGTGCTTCTTCTGCCTGATAAGAACGAAGGCTCCCGCCGCCGGGGCCTTCGACACCGCGAGGCGCTCTCAACGGCTTAAGGGTTTAGGGTTTAGGTTCTCATTTTAGGCTTAAGGACTACCTTAGCCCCAAGTGACCTACCTGTTTAAGAACGTATAAAACGGACATCGTCATAAGGAACCCCAAGAAAGGTTCTTAGGCCCAAGTATGTTTTTGGATATCGAGTTTGGGGCTGAGAGATGTATGGTTCAGGGGTTGGGGTTTTAGCATGTATTGTTTGGGGTGTGGGGTTTTAGATGGCGTGGGGTGTGAATTTTGGTGTATACAGGCTACTGGTTGGTTTAGAGATGAAGAGATTAGGGCCGTTTAGGACTTTATTGGTTTCAGGGCCCCGGAAACCCCAGAAGTCGGAAGTCGGCTTAAGGTCAAACAGTGCTGGGATTCCGACCCTTAATGGGGACCCCTACCCTATAATGGGGCTATCATAATGGGTATATAATAGCTATATTAAGGATATATACCCAGGGGTCGCTATTAGGGCTATACACTACTCCAAAGGATTGAGGCTTATGGGGTTTCCAACTCTTGAACTTGGGGCTGCTACAATATGCGGTTGGCAATGTCTGGGGTTCAGGGTTTGAGGCTTGCATTGGATGCCGCCACCGTAAATAGAGATGGGATGGCAGTCCTATACATACACTACATAAACCAGCATGACCAATCTGTCATAGGACACGGCGAAATTGGCCACAATTGACATGGAGTATTTCCGCGGTGTAGCTCTTAGCTACACTTCAAGAAAACAGTACGTTGAACCATGTTTTAGAAATGTGTGTTTTTCGTTGTCATGCTTCATCCACTAGCAACTTTGAGTGATTGAGTGCTAGAGTCACAGATACCGGCGTGGGTTCGGAGCCCCCAGCGAAACGGTGACGAATGTTTGAGATGTTTCCTTGAGTTCAGTTAGGTTCAAGAAGATTGACTGTGTCTTGCCGGAGCGAAACCTTTTTTTTGAATGAATCTGTAAGGTGCAACAACATTGTAGTCATGTCTTCCAAGGTTCAAGAAGATAGCTCTGGTGCGGTGTACAGCATGTTTAGTTGCAAATATGAGATTTACTGAGCGTTTACCGGGCCCAGTTTGACAAACAAGTGCACGCATATGAATTCACTTTTTAGCCCTAGGCCCTGAGGTTTCACGCTCAGACAGGGTCGCCATGGGCTTATTTTTTTGCATTTGCGTTCTAATTTTATGGAGTTTCGGGCTGTAAGGCGTGGCTGAGGCCGGCTAGGTTGGGTTGGGATTGTGGACCAAGAGCACGAACTCGCAGGCGAGCAATAGTTCAATAGGATAAGGGCAATTCAGGACAATTTGGCTACTGTCATAGACGAAAACGGAGACACGTGACAAACCAAGACGAAAAGAGACAAAGACAGGCAACATTGGGACAAGTAAGGACAACGCATGACAATCGATGATTCAGAAAGATTCAATTAAATGTGGTGCTTTGGAACTCAAAGGCGGGAAGCAAGGGAGCACTGCAAAGCCCTAAGGAGGGAAGACCACTTTCACTCGGCACACCTTGCACGAGAGGAAATGTGATTACATGTATGCCCGATAGCTATCTTTCCACCTGAATGTGTGTGTATATATATATATACATATGTATAGAGAGAGAGAGAGAGAGAGAGAGAGAGAGAGAGAGAGAGAGAGAGAGAGAGAGAGAGAGAGAGAGAGCTATATAGACATACTCATGTCTTTATGCATGCTTGCATGCATGTCTGTCGGTGCATATGTGTTCTCACCAGGTGCCGGCAAGCGAGCGGCCGATCCACCACCGAAGCCAGGACCTACTGCTCGGGATTGAGACCGGGTTGAGGCTTAAGTTTGGGATTTAGGGGTGTTCTGGCTTTAGGGTTTATTGATGGTTTGAGGCTTGGGTTTAGGGTTCAGGGTTGAAGGTATAGACTTTAGGTCAGGTGATTGAAGCTGAGTAGGTAATCTTTGAAGATTTGCTTTGGCCCATTGCAATTGAACTCAGCACTTCAGATTTTTTAGGGTTCAGGAGATTAAACAGGCACTAAATAGGTTACTTCTTTGTAGTGGTGGTAGGGGTTTAGGGTTTAGGGTAGTAGTAGTAGTAGTAGTAGTAGTAGTAGTAGTAGTAGTAGTAGTAGTAGTAGTAGTAGTAGAGGTAGCAGCACCAGCCCAGTGTGTGATATGAATCGGATTCACGTGCGTTCTTTGGGGTTGACACCGCAGCTTCCTACGTCTTGTCAATCTGAATAGAACCAATGCTCCAATCCTGAAAGCCACTAATGGGCGTGACGGTTCACTCCCATGCCACCAAAACAAAGCAGAGTGTATGGGCATCATCTTCTGCAT